CAGTAAATGTTGGAAGAAGGAAAAAGGAAAATGAATTTTGATGTTATGCCTCCTTCTTTTGATAGTGGTTGCTTGGCCTATGAAAATATAATTATGCAAAAGTATAGTTCCATCAAACACGTAAATCTTGGAAGAACGAAAAAGGAAAATGAAATTTGATGTTATGCCTCTTTCTTTTGATAGTGGTTGCTTGGCCTATGAAAATATAATTATGCAGAAGTATAGTTCCCTCGAACACGTAAATGTTGGAAGAAGGAAAAAGGAAAATGAAATTTGATGTTGATTGGGAGGTTTTCATTATTGAGACCCTCTTGCTTCATCAGGTGGACATAGAAAAGCGATATTATAGGTCATGCTTTATTTGGGTTAGTATTCGGTTATGGGGCGGATACTTGATTTATGGGTTAAAAAAAGGCTTAAACGGATAGTTTAACAGGATTAAGACACGTGTAAAAAATTAGTGAGAGGGGTATATGTTTACCTTTAATTGGACGGTAGGGGCTTATGTGGATCCAAAGTATAACGGAGGGCATGGACGTACCATTTATTAAAGTTCGGAGGTATATCCGTCTCTTTTCCCTTAATAATAAAGTAATTATTTCGCTTTCTAAGGGTTCTTAATTATTACTCCATATGTCTTTAATAACTTGTCCACTTTTAAACTGGCACACCTATTAAGAAAATAATTATTGACATGGTGAATTTATCATTTTACCCCTGTTGTAATTATGAAGTTGATGAATTAAAAATTTAATATTTTCAAGAAGTTCTACATTTTTCAAAAAAAATAATTTAGGGTATAATTGGTAAAAAAAATAATCCTTTTTTGATTTGTCAAAATGAACAAGTATTAGACACAAATACAAAAGAAAAAATGGACAAATAATTGAGGACATAAGGAATATTATATAATCAAAACAAAAGTCATTATCTCATGCATTTGAAACCAAAAATTTTAAAGAAAATAAAGGAGTAGACAAGTATTAATTAAACATTAATATGTCATATCGAAAGAGGTGATGATCCAACATAATCTAATATGTTACGTTAAAGGAAGTAACAGTTCAACGTTGTATAATATGTCTCATTGAACGAGGTGCCTATCTAATATCTCGCTGAAGAAGGTGATGGTCCAATATTGTATAATATGACATATTGAAGGAGGCGATGATCCAACAATATAAATGCAAATCTCAATATGTGTAGCGACCCTGTATGTCACTTGCAAAACAAAAACTAATCTACTATGTAACGTTCGAAAGACTAATTTTAGAAATAAGTAAATAAATAAAATATTCATTAATAATTTAATGGCAGAAATTAGGCCTATTCTTAAAGATCTTAAAAGTATATTGAAGACTCAATTGCACATTAAAAATAATATCAAAATAATTAGAGAAAAGTCATAAAGTCATCACTGAAATTGTCCCGAATTTTTAAAAAGACCACTTAACATTGCAATTTTTCTATTACCGAACAAAACAATTTTGAATAGATATAAATATATCATTTTTCGTCCATCTGACATAGAGAGTGGTGTGCATTCTCTCAAAGTGAGTGAGCAGCTTAAAATAACTAATATAATTTTATTTTTATAATATTTTATTATAAAATATACTTTCTTATTTTTCTTATTATTTTAACTATTTTTTCTCTTTCTTTTAAAAAAATTCATTGAAGTTTCTTACTTTCAATGTTACCATTTTTACAACAACTTTACCTTCCTTTTTTTTTTATTACTATTAGTTTCTCTCTTTAGTTTTAAAATTTTATCTAAATATTTTCTTACATTTCGAACAATTCGATAAACTTATTAGATTTCAAGATGATTAGGAAGTATCATATAGTTTTTTTATTCGATTTCAATAATGTTCTTTCAATTTTCGAGAAATTAATTGATTCTTTTAAAATTATCATTTCCAATTTTTAATTTATATGAAAATGAGTAGTTGATGATACCTTCAAAATTTTAAATTTTCTTAAAAATTAATTAATTTTGTTATCAATAATTCAATAAACTCTAAATAGTAGTATGAAAGCATGTTTGCTGTCATATGTTTACCATCCTTTGACCCTGTCCCTCCTTAGACATAATGTACCTCACTCAGGAAAATGCCTAAATTGAGGGTGGCTACCATGAGTATATAAGAAAAGTACAATGGGGTATGAAAAATATAGGTTAGAAATGATCAACACATGTGGATATGGCCTAAATTGAGGGTGGCTACCATGAGTATATAAGAAAAGTACAATGGGGTATGAAAAAGATAGGTTAGAAATGATCAACACATGTGGATATGGTGTATTAAGATAGTTTGAATGTATTTACCTAAGAAAAAGGGAATAGTGAATGAAAAGAGAGAAAAGAAGGGGTGTCACATTCGAAATATTATTAATTAACGACTTAAACGAAGAGAAAAGATTGTCTAACAAAAGAAAGGAAAACAAGGTAAAAAGGGTAACAAGGAGGGCGTAGTGCTCCCAAATGTATCCTCCCTTTGGCTCTAGCCTAAGTTATGAGTTAAGAAAGTCCTATATATAGTAATCCTAGTCTTATTGTTTGTAAAGTTGGTGCCAAAATAATAAGGACAAAATTATGAGTTATGTATGCATGGTTTAAATTTCAATATGAGAGAGTGTTTCCTATTGTCCCTCATATACAAATATTTATATGTTAGCGATAGGGTTATCTTTGTTGTGAGGAACTAAGTTTGCATTTGAGAGGATTGCTTATGTCATTCACAACCATTTGGATCGTCATAGGATGGGGAGTAAGGAATTAAGGGGGAGGAGGTAATTCAATGGTGTGCATCTCCAAATGTCCATTTGGCTATTATTTCTTCTTTGTATTCTCTTTGCTTGAGTATATATAATTGTTTGATTGATAGAAACACCAAAGATGTAAGTAAGATTTTTGCATCAACCCAATTTATTGAAATCAAACGAATCGATTCAATTAAGCTCACTTTTCTCATTTTTCATAATAATCCTTATGGCTTAAGAAGAGTAGGCATATCTTAATGTATACAGGAAAAATGAAAGACAATCATCATATCAATAAAAATGTAGATAGAAAAAGTTTGATGACTGAAAAAATATAAAGAGTTGCATAAAATTTATTAAAACATGATTATTTGGAAATAGAGTTGCATACACTTTATTATAACATGACTATTTGGAAATAGAATTGCATACACTTTATTAAAACATTACTATTTGGGAAGTACCAAAATTTTATTGAAGAAGTGAAATTTGACATAATTAGTTGTGGTTGAATAATGGGCACTGATGAGTGGTGGTATTATCATCATGGCCTTGCTCAATGTTAGATTCAGATATTTTTGGTCCCTTGAGTAGTCCACCAAAAAGTTTTGCTGGATCATAGTATAACTCTAATTCCTCCATTCTTAGATATTTATCTACCTGCAAATATACAAAAACAACTAGTTAGTTAAACTCATAAGTTTTATACTAATGTATGTGAACTTTAATTCTTTATATTGGACCAATTCTAAGTGACTTAATAAGATTCTAGCCAAGGTGATCATTTACATGAATGACCTAGTAAATATGTGGTCTTGGACTTTTCATCCCGCTTGTCTCATGGACAAAATTTTTGTTCCAAGGGCAACACATTTGAGTTTTGACCGTAAAGGTTTATCTAAAGGCAAGTGTGGCCAAATGTTCAAGATCAACTATTTTCAAGTTTATTTGGTGTGAGCAAATTTTAATCTAAAGTTTAAGATTGCCATTTTACCCGTAATTACTAATTTGCATCCCTAATATATCTAAGTTTTGTATTGAATCATAAATTTTAAAGTCTTGTTTTAGTTAAATTTTGTGCCTTATTAAAAAAATGTCACATAAATTAAAACGATATATGTGTATATATAAGAGGGAGGGAGATAGACCTTCATAATGCCAATGCCATAGAACTGTATCATTTCACCAGTAGGTGCATGTCCTTTAAATGGTCCTTCAAAGAAACCCCAATGTCTGAATTTGTATGTCACAACGGGAGGGCCAGTATACACGTTGATCACTTCCCACGCGAATCCTCTTGGAAAAGCTGATCGAAAATTAGTGTGAGACGATTCAAAGGTCTCTTCGTCTTCTTTGTGGTATTTGAATTCATTCGGCATTGAAGTCTTCAATAGCGCATTGTAACCTCCAACTTTTAGT